ACTCTTGTACCTGTGGCAGGGAATAAACTCCACCACAAGGCAGCCCTGGAGGATTGTGGTGCTTGTGTCTGCCCAAGATCCCCGCTAGTGACCGTGTGCCAAGAGCTCCTGGGGGAGCAAGGCAGGCTGCAACGGGTTTGGGGGATCAGAGCACACGGCCCTGGACATGGCTGTACTCCTCCTCTGCACAGATCACATGTGTTCTTAGCCAAAAGAACAGTCACTGACAGCAAAATCCCACTCATATACCCCTAGGAATACTAAAACTGTATGTAAGCAAATGAAAAAAACAACCACAACCAACCACAACACTAAAAACCCAAACAAAACCCCACCCCCCAAAAAAACCACACTGTTAATTTAAATTAATAAATTTATGCAAAAATACCTAATGAATTCACTTTCTATTAAACTTGTAAATGCAATATCAAATCATGGCTCAAATCCTAGCTCTGTTCATGGGCACTACAACACTGTTTTGTTGATGTGATCCACTTATTCTCCTGCTCAGTGTCTCCAGTGAAGCCCGAGGTGTTGCCAGGTGCAGGCCCTGGAATTTCTGTAAGCTCAGTGTGGAGCCTTGCAAGGCCTCCTAACAGATGCTTCTCAGGTGTGCCATGCCTGAGCTTCATTTGGTACAGCTGTAACAACAGTTTTTCCAGTTGAGTGTTTATCACCAATTTTGCTCACACCTATCTTTTTATATATATATTATATCATATATAATGCATGTGTCCCCTGGCCTCTAAACTAGATTTTGAGTCTAACATCTTACATGCAGTCAATAGTTTAGGGAATCATAAACAAATGGAAGCAAAGATAGGCTCTGTTCATAATTTTGATTATCTGCTCAGAGCAACAGTTGTAAACACCTCTCATGGTATCTCATATTTCAGAACCATTTATGTCCCAATTATCCTCAGCAGCATCTAATTAACGCCTGCTGTTCTCTACTAGAAGTCAACAGTTATTTCTAAATTTATATCCTTTTTATAGCCTGACACCTGAAAGTTAGGAAAATAAAAACACATTTTTACTGGAATGAACTCAAGATTACCAGTTAATTCAGGAAATTGTACACAATACATGAACTTCTTATATCATCATTCAGAGAAATCAGACTTTGATAATATACCAAGGGACAGCTCCTTCTACAAACACACTGAAGTAAAGCTTTCAAAGTACTGTACGAAGTTTTGTTTACTAAAAGGTATTCTGTGGGTATAAATAATTAAGTCCAATACAAAGATAGTAGCTTGTTAAGAATGGATAAAGCCACAATTAACCATTTTTAACCATGTGATACAGAAAAACAATAAATGATCAAACAATTTTTAACAATTAAACCATTTTTAACCATATGATACAGTAATGATACATAAAAGAATAGGAAAAGCCAATAAAAACATATGCAGTCAAGCTTCCATTTTATCAGTTTCTCTAGCACTCCATTCCTGCTGTCACACACATCCTGTGGTGCATCTGAGAGATTACAACCTGCATTTCTTTTGTCTTTAGGGGGAACAGAAGAAATCCAACAAAACAGCTACCAAACCAAAACACTAAAACTCACTAAAGAGCACTCTCTTTGAGAGAAAAAAAAAAAAAAAGCAACAAAAAAGTTGATTTGTGATGATTTTAAAAGGAGCTGATGTTGTGCAAGTCAGAAAGTCAGTTCTTTTGTAGAGCTTTGTAGCCATTTAAATTTAAAGGCTCTTTTGGTATCCTGTTTACCCAGCACATTACACAGCAGATTGGTGTTCCCCTGCCTTCCAGCCATACTCTTGTAGTTAATAAAAGTTTAAATTAGACATGTCTGTAATTTCAAAGGCAAGCTACATTTCAGGACTCAGTCTTTTCAGGTTAACTGATACAAGGACAGTATTTTTTGCTAATAAATTTGAAACCCATTTTCAATTTTCTGGCCTGTACCCAATCAGGTACATGACCCCACAAGAACAACAATATTTTTTATATCTTACTTAATCATGTCTGCAAGGTGTACACTTCAATGTGTCAAGTGCTAGGATTGATGAAAATATATAGAAAATGCACAATTTCCATACTATTATTTATTTACATATAATTTCAGTCTAAATTTATGTATGATACCAGCATTAATAGCAAGGATTCTTATCTACACCATATCCTACTGGAGAATGCAGTTTGCTCTATAAAACCAACAGGTGTGGATCAGAAATTTTCATTTGCAGACCAAATAGAGGGTACAGAGGCTGTTCTTAATTTTTATTCCTACACAAACAGGCAAGAATGATGTATCTTTTCTACCAGTTAACAGCCAGCAGATTTGAGCCAACACATTCTATCAGAAAAATACAGTGTTAGATCCATTCCACTGCATTTTCCATCCCTGTCTAACAACAGTGGAGCACAGGCAGTGCAGGCCCATATCCCACTGCATCCATAAAACAAGAATTTAACCCCTCAGAGAGGAGGTAAAACTCCAAAGAGTAATTGTGTCTATGGCACATATAAGCACCAAAACAACATCTGCAGTCCCACTGCACTTTCTCCAAGCTGCTTGTGGAATTTAGTGTAATCAATTTATTTGTATAAGAGCTATAACTGTATCATATTTTTTCCCTAAAGGAAAGCAAAGGAATTTGCCAGAGCTCTTCACATCAATAATCCCATGGCATTTTACATGTATGCATTTCAAAGGACTGACTCTATAATTTAAAAATCTAGATGAGTAAATGCTTAATTTGGTTTAGAGGATTCTTAAATAGTAATATTTAATTTAGTCCAATGGGAATATTTTCAAAAATTTCAAAGGAAAGAGAAAAGGAGCTCCCAAGCAGATAGGGGAATGGGAGGTCACAGTGTCACAGAATAAATAGAGCTGTTGTTCTGAAATAGACAAGGACAAGCATATTAATATACCTTTTTGTTATATTTACTATTTTTAGTTTATTTCCACTCGTAAATCAGGTTATGTTATAATTCTATCTTTAGATGAATCAATATTTACTAAAATAAATCTGCACACATTCTTCTACTACCCCCATCACATTTCCCTATAAACTATATCCTTATGAATTATAGAAAGCAAGCCAGTGAACTACTATTTCTTGGCAAGCACTACTAAAATTAAACACATATACTGATACTGGGGGAGGTTATTCTTACTTTTGTGTCTTCTGCATTTACCCAGCTCAATGCTATTCATTCTGAACTATTAAATAAAATCCTGAAAAATGAGGCAATCTGTTTCATATGATCTATTGGTGTTTTGTTCCTGTCTTGCTGTTTCGGCCAACTGATATAGCTGCAAAAATCAGATGCTTAATATTTGATAGCATATAATAATATTTGTAGTATTATTTATTCAAGTGTGGTGGATATTGAGTTCTAACTCTATCACACTGAAGGTTTCACAAGTATATCTTCTCACAATTTTCAGTGTATGTAAAAAACCCAAACACAACAAACAAGATCCCTTGAGTAATAAAAAAAGCTTAACTTTATGCACGTGAATATATATGGACATATTTCCTTCTGGAGTTGACTATATTAGAAAACTGCCATTTCACTTTTTTTTTCCTAGCTAGGTTGTGCAACATAAAAATCTTGCGGGGTTTATTCCTTTCTTTAAGGAGATCTTAAGTCGGAAATTATTCTATATCCATGTTCCTAACAGATCTCCTGGGAGTTCCTTTCTAAATTCAGCATAACTGGTTCCAGCAAATGCCATTCAAAGAGTAAAGAGAGACACCCTGAGCCAGCACTACACCAAGCTGATGTTTACTCCTGGCACCATTTGCAGCAATGAAAGTTGGCACATATCAAAAAAACCAGTGCTCTTACATGATGATGCTAAGTTTTTTCTCCATCTTGAATATAATCTGCACAAGAGAACAACCCAGAAAAACTACCTCTAAGTTGGACTACATGGATGTGAACAAACAAATATAAGCACCTTGTAAAATATTTGAACAGATAAAATGCCTTGAACTAAGCAACCGTGTCTGGTTTTCTCTCAAATTCAAGTTAAATTTTCTGCAACAGACAATCAGAAGTCATATACTCTAGCAGCCACTTCTCTTTGTCATTTGGGAATTCCAGTCCACTAACAACTAAAAAGATTCAAAAATAATTAATCTGTTTCTATTATTTGTTTCTCAATTTCAGTCCTCTTTTGGTCTTTACTCATTCACAGAATATCTCCTAGACTATCCTGAAACCCATCTTCTAATATGTAAGCTTTTAATATTTTAATATAATCATCCAAATTCTGAAAATCTTCATCCATTATTATTCTGCCTGGTTTTGAAGTTAAAGAACTCAATCATATTTATTATAGCTGATTTTGCCAATGTATTTATTTAAAAAAATCTTTTATGTTCTTCCAAATAAAGGTATCTCAAACAGCTCAGATGGTGATATATTTGCCACAGCATCATAATGGCAGCTTCAGAAACAAAACTGTCAGACATTTCACAGTGTTGGCCAGGGATATTTCATGTATTCCAGTCTGGCAGTCAGTTTATTGGTTTAGATTATGACTTTGTGCTGATAATCATTGCTCTGCAATATTTGTTCAGCTTTGCTTGGGTAAAGGACAAGTCTGGTCTGAGGAAATTCAGAGCAGGTCAGAAGGAAGATGCATTTAGTACTTAAAGCATCAACATTTCTAAAATAAGCAAAATGGCAAAGATTGAGAAGCATGGCATTAATACATGCTTCACACCACTACAGAGATTAAAAATGGTCAGTCATGTTCATTTTGAGGTCAGCAGGACTTGAATTATTCAGTATAATCCTGCATTAAGATCTAAACTTTATTCTACCTTGCAAAGCCAGGAAAAGTTTGTTCATGCTCATGAAAAGGCGACACTGTGAGATTACAACCATGGATATGGCTGACAAGGTTATTCTTAACAAAATCTCATCTAAAAATCAAATAATAAATCCTATTTTTGTCTCTGCCATGGTTAATAATTTCTTCTAGAACTGAAGAAATATGAATATGAACTGACCTTGGAATCCTGAGGCTTCTGACATGGACACCCCCTGAAAAATAAAACAGCATTTAGATGTGTTATTAGTTATATCAAAATTCACCCATATATTGCAAAGAGTAGCTAAGCTATTATGTAGACAAAGCATTTGAATAACAGCTTCAGTACATTCTAGAATTACATTTGACTTTAAAGCACTTACTTATCTGAAAATTATTCCTTGTGCTATCAAGGGGGAACTTAAATACACCCCTAGAAAAAATTGAAACAGTTCTACCACCTATTTGTACTTTCTCTTGCAATTTCATTTTATAACCAATAAATTCAGCCACCTTCTTTGACAGTAAAGCATGATTAATTTGCAATAATTTTCTTATTCAGTCTGATAACTGTGTAAAGCTGTAAGAAAACAAAACCAGAGGAGCATATTTTAAACTAATGGCAGAATTATAACATTAAAATATAGTACATTTAGAGATATCTAAATGTAAATATACAGTCCTCACTTGTGCTTAGATTTTTGATAAATGGACACAAACTCTATGGAAACTTTATTTACTAAAATAATTTTTTTTCATTGAAAAAGAGGACCATTTGCAAGAATAAGTTCTGTCTTTAATTTTAGTTTTGCATGTAATCATATTTCTGCCAAGTTTCCCTGAAATTTTCAGCTATACAGGTTTTTCTTTATCTCTTACTCTAAATTAATTAATTAATTGCATACTTGTTATACTATTTAAACAAACCTGCATGAGCAAGATATTCTTGAACCTACCCTTGTTGCAGATAAAAGTGAGAACAAAATATAAATTAATAAGTTTATGGGCAGCAAACATCTGATGTCATTTCTTTTTTAACAAATTTATTACCTACTATGCCATGAAATCCAGTTACCAAAACTACACTGGAAAAATGTTATTTTTAGAAATCTGCTGAGTTTTGTTATCCAAAGCAGCTTTCTCTTAGCCAAAGGTCACAAAAGGACACTTGACCCAATGAGACAGTGAAGGTCCATAAAAGAATCCTGCACTCTGATGCAGTGCTGGTGTTCTGAGGGAAGAAACATAGCTGATTTAAAAGCACTTAGGGCACCTGTAGTGGAAATTAACTTGGAATAATATATAAATAAAGTCTATTAGATTCCACACAACTTCTAATGAGATTTAGCATTAATAGATTGAAATTGATTTACTTATGCAGGCTTTAATATGAGCTTTGAGGACAAGAGAGATCTGCCCTCTTACTGCACAGCAGTGCAGGAGAACAAATGTAGGTTGTTTGTCCACAGACACAGTAAAAGCATCAGCAGATTTCTAGTTTATTAGCTTTTTAATTTATTTGCAATTGTCTGAGACATTCAAACTCTAAAAACAAATGGATAATCTATCAGTGAAATTGTATTTATTGTATAATACCAACACAAAGCTGGCATCATAAAGTTAATTTATTTCAAATGTGGGCAATATCTGTATTAGCACATTTGCTTCCTGTACCATTTTCCTTCACTCACATTGCTTTTTGGAGAGGGTATAGATAACCTGTTTCTTGTTCTAAAATCATGCAACTTTATGAATACTGCAAAATATTTTAGCACCTTTAATCCTACAACTCCCAACCAGTAGTAGCCAGTTACAGACTGTGCTACTTAATTTTCATATGCTGTATTTGGCACTGTTTTAACAGGAAGCTCCTTGTTCTAACATAAGCAGAAGTTTTCTGTGCATTCTCATTATGATTTATTTTACTTTTCCACAGGCACCTGTAAAATATACATGTCTCAGGATCAAAAACAACCTTTTATAAAACCAAGAACTGCCATCTCTTCTTTTCCTTAAGCTGATCCTGAGAAGGAAAATCTTTGTAAATTCTGCTATTTTCTGCTTCAGTACAAGAGTTTGCTGTTCCTGGGATACAAATACTGCGTCCATCTTTAAGGGCAAGGAAGCTAGATAGAAAACTACCCAATCTTCATCAGTGTGAGAATGTGACAACTCATCCAGCTGAAGATCAGCTCCCTGGAGAAGAATTTGAAGATTATTAAAGCTAATTAGAGAGTGGCAGAGAGTTGGTTAAGAGGACATTGTAGACATGTGTAAACAGGAAAGGATTTTTGACAGCACAGTCTTTGAGCAACATGTGAACAGCTTGTAAAATTAATTAAATATTATTAACATTTTAATAACGGGGTTGGCTTGTGGGTGGCAATGGGGAACCAATGTCTGAAAGCCGCAGAGAAGCTGTTGTCAGACAACTCGATCTTACTGCCCCAAGGTAAAACATTTACAATTCAGTGGGCATTTTTGTTATGCCACAAATGACATGAATAAAGGTGGCCAAAGCACAGGCAAGGTCTGCAATGAAACCAGAAGGGCAACAGACAGCAGCCACAACAGGGCAGTTAGAGAAGCTGTGTGTGGGTCAGGGGGACTGCAGTGATTTTCAGGGAGCCCTGGCCAGTCCCAGCTGATGTGACCTCCACACAGATCCTACACTGAGATGCTGGACAAGGTCCTCGGGGACAGTGGGATTCTGTGGCCTGCACTGCACCATGATTTACCTGCTGACAGGCAAGAACACAGACTTTTGTTCATATAATTTCAACTCCTACTGGATTCCATTCCTATCTAAGACTTATGACAGTCAAAGGAGGACAGAAAAGAGAGAGCAAAGGGGGATTTGGTGTTTTGTGTTCCTTCCCACTGGGGACAGCAATAAAGGAGCAGAAGTATTGACTGCAGAGCCTAACCACCTCTGTATCACAACTGTAAAAAGACAGTGGGACAAAAAAATTGCTGAGTCCAGCTCAGCAGGCACTTAAATGCCTCTCCATACTAATGAATTTTACACATACACATTTAAATGCCTATACCTACAGTCCTTTTAAATGCCTCTCCATGTTCATGAATTTTATGCATATTAGGTGTGATCAAAGAGTACTTTGCTATGTTTGTTTAATAAGGAATAGGTCTGGGTTTAGTTTCCTGGGGAAGGAGGGAGGCATATTTGTGCCATTCTAACTTAGCAGTCCAATTTGCACATAAGGAGCAATATTCCCAGGACACCTGATAATTTTTAAAACAAATTCTACAGGAACATTCTTTCCTGCTCTATTCTTAGGATTTCCTTATAAATGGCAGAAGTTAATGTGGTAGTCATAAAATGCTTTAATTGGCCAATTGCAATTTATTCAGCATTTACATTATTTAAAAGTATTGTTCCTCATCTACATCAGTTTAAAGGTGGTTCAACACTGTCAAATTGTCCATCAATATTCCAAAACAAGTCATTAGATATAGGTTAATTTGATCAGGTTTTGCTTTATTCTTGACTTCTAATTGCTATTATATCAATGACTATAAAGGTGGGAATGAAATAAATAATATATTCATGTTATTCCAGCTCATGCCTAAAATCCAACTGTAACTAAGGGTATTCAATGGTTAATATTAAGTCAAAACCTGCCAAAGTCTGGTGTCTGAATCCCATTTATTACACTTTCCATGAAATGTAAAGCATTGAAGATGACTATTGGTATTTCTGATGCAACCCCTTTCCCTTTCTCAAGATGAATGCCCATTTACATCCGGCCATAATTTGTATACACAAATAAATAAGGCATATAAAGGAGAGAGTTATTTTTCTTTCAAAAGGTTCCTTTGAGGGGTGGGAGGGGAAGGGGGGAGTTGTTGCTCACAAAAGAAGCTTGAAAAATGTAGAAGTTGTAAATGAGCTTAGGGGCAGTTCATCCTGTTTATCCTCTACCTGTGTCACTGCTGCTTGGCCACTGGTAGAAATGCCTGTTATCTGTTTCATTTCTACAGTCACAAAGACTCAGAGCTCTGAATACTCAAAATTCAGTTCTCCAATATAGGTTTGCTAATAAAATAAAAATAATCATCATGAACCCTTTGCTTTGGGACAAAAGCACTGGTCAGGTTCAGGTTACCTCCTCACCAGATGCACATTTACAACCTTACTGCTGCAGCTAATAAAGGTTAGGGAAAATATTGTTGTCCAGTTACAGAAATCAATTAGGATCTTTAAGTCCTTTTCAAGTATGAATAGATCAATTTAAAAAGCACAGACTGATAGAATCTCTCTAAAACCAGTTCTTAAGAAATACTACTAAATCTTTAAAGTCAATGGCCAGTGCAATAATGCATTAAGAACTAAATATTTAGGAGTTTTAAGTATCTTACATATTAATGTCTACAAATAAGCACATAGGCCTGGAAACTCTTCTTACAGTAAATTTAGAGTGCTGTAGTACCATTGATTCCTGAGACAGTCTTGATTCACAAGCATGAAAGTGAGAGGAGAGGCCAGTTCAGAAAATAATCAAGAAATATTAGAAAAAATAACCAAAAGTCAGATTTTCTTTCTTCTGTGGCAAATAACAATTTTGATGTACTGCCTTTTTTTTTTTTTTTAATATGAATTAATCCAATGGAATTTGTTGAGGAAAAAAAATGCCATTTCAAAGTAGCAAGCATCAGTGTCTCAGTGTAAAAAGAAAACTCTGTAGGTGTAAAATGCAATAGAAAAGGTTGGCCTTTCAGTACACTTGGTATTCCTGACATGCAGATACACATTAATGTACCAGCTCAGTGCTCTAGTAAAAGCATCTTTTCCAATTCCTAATCCAGCCTCCCAGAAATGAATGTCTGACACTAAACCCCTTTAAACTGTTTAGGCTCTCAAGTGTGATTTGTGTTTTATATGTACTTGTCATTGTAATGGAAAACACACTGTCCTAATGCCAGGTTCTTAAAGCAAGGAGGGTCCTTTACAACAAATAGTAATTCCAGGATTTACAAAGCAATGGCAGAGAGGTTTCTCTTAAGGATGGATTTTAGCTAATAATGTAAAAGCATTCTATGTATCCTTTTCAAATGCAAAATAAAGATGACATTGAGGGTGCTTGGGCTGGGTTCTGAGCAACCCTGTCTACTGGAAGCTGTCCCTGCCCATGAAGGGAGGTTGGAATGAAATTATCTTTAAGGCCCTCTCCAACTGAAACCATTCTATGACATTTCTCTGAAATGCAATGTA